TCAAGCTCCACCAGGCTGAGGAACAGCTTCTTCCACCAGGCGGTCAGGATGCTGAACTCTCTCCCCTCCCTACCTCCCCCCTCTCCCTCTCTCCCTCCTCTCTCCCTCCCTCCCTCCCTCCTATGACATCTCTCCCCTGACCTCTCCACCCTGCCTCCCACCTTTCCCCCCTGTCCCAAATGGACCTGGACTTTAACCCCACCCCACACACACACACAACCTTCCCTCATCCAGCACCAGTAACTTTTCTACCCATCTCCGCTGCTACTGCACTGAAACTGTACTTTGCACATCATTTTCTCATTTGCACTAAAGAATACTTGCATTCATGTAAATTCATGTTCTGTGGATTGTGTTTTTTTAAATATATCATCAACTAGTACTTATTACTACTATTACTTAGTTTTATAGCCCGTTTATCTAGGCCCTTTTTGTATCTGTTTTATGTATATATGTCACACTGTGGGACTGCGAGAAACGGTATTTCAAATGTCTATAACACATGTAGAAATGTTGACAATAAAGCTGACTTTGACATTGATATATGATGATAATTTAAGGAAAATTCCTTAATTTGGCTACAGGTTCAGATCCTAAGTAGCTAGTTTTGAGAGCTTTCTCTCTGTGTTTTTTTTCATAAAAGTGACCTGTTTCTCAGTTTGTTTACGCAGACCAACAAAATAGTCTCTGTTCTTGTTTTAAGGTGACAGTGTTTCTTTTAGAGATGTCGTTTAAACTTGCTTGTAACCATGGTACAAACCAATAAGTACAACAAAACCAATTCAGTTAAATTGGACAGTCTCCCCCTGGATGTAATTACTTGATTAAATGATATTAACCTCCAGGGGACATTCCATATTCCAAACCATACCTATCTTTTTATTAGGACAATATAGGATGATCTTTTATCTATTGTGAGTGTTTTTTTGTTGTGGAACTTCAAATGTAAAGCATATAAAATCCAGTCATTCTTCCCCCCTCAGAGCCCTAAGATGCGCCGCAATGGCTTCGAACTGAAGATGCAAGACCGCTACAGCCACTTCCTGGCGGCGGACAGCGAAGCAGAGATGGAGGACTGGGTGATCACGTTGAAACAGGCTCTGCAGAACGCCACTGATCCCAGCCAGGACAGGAGGAACGGGGCAGAGACACTGGACTGTGCCCTGGGTGAGTAATACTCTACCTACCAAGACACTTTGGATAAACACATGTCTAGATCTACTTCTGTCAACCTATTATTTACAGCATCATTTCGATGTTGCTGTAAACTAAAGTAATGGTCCATCTAGCCATGATGACAATAATAACATGTTGGGACATAACCTGAGCCCGTTTGAGGGTTGGAAGTTATGTGGAAGAATGCCAACAGTCTAATGCAGTTTGACTTTGTGTGCAAGCATCTATTGGCCCGTCTTCTTTAATAGCATACTCTCTGCAGAATGTTCTAGGCCTAGGGAAACCAAATAGCTTGGTCAGAGCTGCTGATGAGGGACTGGGTGAAAGACGGGAGGCACTTAGGGTTCACTCAGTTCATCACCCGTCACCTGGGAGCCAGCAGAATAGTGAAGAGCCTCTTTCTGATTTGCCCAGTAGACTGTAAGGTTTTATTCGGTCTAGATTTGAAACTTGCACCCAGCCCAGGGGAAGCCATTCGAGAAACATTGAGCAACAGAGCTTTACTGGACCTGATTTGCATCAGTGATGTGTTATCAGGCTGTGTGATTCATGTGTGATCATTGTCCCGTTCAATCAGATGACGACACACCCAGCCAAGGTAAAGGGGAGAGCCTGCTGGAGAGCCTGGGGAGGGGCTTACATCCGGAACTAACGAAGGTACGAAGGATGAATGGATGGATGGTTGAATAATGAATTTAGACAAGAGGAGATACTGACCTATATCTGTCCACAGCAAGAATACATCATAGCGATTTGACCTCGCAAAGTAAAGTGGTTCCTTGATAAAAAAAAACACTATTTTTTCTACTTGTTACTTTATTCTCACTGAATGTTTAAGATTCTTAAGATGAAGAGTATTTTCTAGTATATTCACCACAATAGTCTTTTATTTTGGGTTTTCTCCAAAAATGTACCCCTCTCCCCTCTCCCCGTTTCTTTTATTTTTTAATAAAAAAATGTACCTGCAATGGATCTAAAATGCTTTAATTGATATATCGATATTCAGAAACATTTTACATTTCTATGGCAATTCTATACTTTTTTGTATTTCACATGGTAGTTTTTGATATCCTAAATTATTATGTATTTGTAGTATTTCTTGTATTTTGTTGCTGTTCTTGTTAGGCCTGCAGTTATTGCTGATGATAGTAGTGAAAAGAAAGAAGAAACAACACTGCGAGAAGCCACATGTTATCTCGAAAGAGTCTGAGGTTTTGTACCATGCCACATTTGTTATCTCTTGTTTATAAATCTTTACACAATGATAGAGCCACAGAAGAGCAGCTCTGTGTTCGAGTCTGTTTCCTACGCCAGTGTGTATTCTACAGAGACTCTCCTGGTTTAACATGTCTATAAACCCAGAGCTGCACACAGACAACAAAGCCCTCTGTGCTCTGTGCTGCTGCTTCACCGCTGTTTGCTCTGGGCCACTCCAGCACAGCTTTCCCCAAGAACACCTGTCTGCAGGCTGGTCACAGAGAGCAGGAGAGAGAGGGAGGAGGAGGAGGAGGAGAGATGGATTAGTGCTTTTACCGTGACCTGAGGCTTTGATATGTTTGTCTCCATTAGATTCTTATCCTTTTTGCCTGTTGACCGTCTTCTTCTTTGTCTTACTGTGTCTGGATGTGTGTTGGTTTACTATGAGAAACTACATGTCCCTTTAGTACACAATATAGCAATATATACAACTCATAAAACATTTTGAAAAGGCTTTGGAATTCTTTGCCGGTGCATAAAGTTAAAGAAAATACTGAAGATACTAAAACATTTGAATACCCTATTTGCTTGAAATGAATACGCCTGAAAGCCCAGGACACACACATATATCATTGAAGGTTATTTCAGACAAGGACTTATGTTTGCAATACTATGTATTTCTTATAGAACTGTATTATCACTTCTTGAAGAATTGTGTGATTTTTTTGGTTTTTGTTTGGGTTAATGATGATAATGTTGTCTCACTTCATAATGGGGATCCTTATAAAAACATCTGAACAACAAGATATTTAAATTCCAAATGAAATAATGTATATAGGTGTCATTACATTATATTGCACATATTGTACCTGATATTCTTCCACTGTGTGTGTCTGCAGTATGCCAGGGAGACAGACCAGCTGAATAAGATCAACAGGAACGAAGGCAGACAAAAGCTTTTCTCCCTGGATCCAGAGACACAGGTACGCTTCATGCTTCATTTTGACACCTTTATGTTTGATTTATTTCACTATTGATTCAGACTATTTGATCTCTCCTCGCACCGTTTCCTTCTCCTTTGTCCTCTTCCTTCTTTCACTGCTTCTCCCCTCTCATATCCCCTGGATCAATCGTTCTCTTCTTGTTGTTTTATCTCCTCCCTTCTTTCCCCCTCTCCTCCCTCCTGTGTGATATCCAGAGGCTGGACTTCTCAGGGATCGAGCCAGATGTGAAGCCGTTCGAGGAGCGTTTCGGCCGTCGTATCGTGGTCAGCTGCCACGACCTGACATTCAGTCTGCAGGGCTGCGTCAGTGAGAAGGGGGACGGCGTCCTCACCAATGTAGGTCACCACCTTACCTCCACAGGAAAGACTCAATTAATATCCTGATTAAATGACTCTTATAGTACCTCTACTGCTTCCTATTTTTCCTTAATTACTACTAATGAGAAACTAAAGCTTTTTAAAGTCAAATAGATGACCATAAGACCTTATATACATAGACAAAATTACACAAAAAATAATAATATATATACAAAAAAAAATATTTTTAAAGGCATATTGCATCCTGACCTAAAAAAACAAATTTACGGTAAAAAATTATCACAACAATAAATAAAAAATATAAAAATCAATTGTGATAGTACATCCGTAGTAATTCTTTTTTCTAATTGCACTTAAGCCTATCTAATCTCAATACACAGTCGTCCTTTTAACCTCACACATCCCCAACCTTCCTCACCCTCTGCAGGGCTGCCCCAGATAATACACTTTCATAATTCATGCTGTTCTGTCTGAAAGCCATGGAAGTAACCAGGCCAACGGAAAACACAACTACATATCGTTGTCATATTTTCTAAAAAGATCAAAACAGTGATGTTGCTAGCTGGTCTTAATGTAAGCGCTTATTTTAATTTCTCTAGGCGTTAAACTTTGTTCTTCCAGATAACTTCTGCAAGAACTCCGTCTGATGAATGGTGGAGATTTCTTCATTGTGTTTCATGTGCGGATCATGAGACAGCACTTCAGAGTCAGAGTGGATTACTGTAGTCATAAAACATTGAGTTGCCTGCTTGTGCATTAGAGGGGCTGGAGAGTTGAAGTGACGCATATTTGTGGTTTGGATACATCACGCTCTCTCAATCCCTCCCCCTCTTCCTCCCTCCTCTCCTTCAACAGTCTCTGGTAGGTCTAATGATTATTGGATGGTTCTATCCTGGCATAAGTTCACAGTCATTCAGAAATGTGCTACTGTAGAGCCAACATCTGCTTCTAAACAAGGGATAAGATAACACTAATGTTTGGTGTCTATACGTGAAGGCAATCTTTTTTACAATATTTATCTGTAAATATTTTGTCTCGAACAACTGTAGTTAAAATGTTTCTTAAAATGGAAACATCTACAATTGTTATTGTTGCATATTTGATAGTATGGCAGATTACATTTAAAGAGTTAACATTATTCTCAATACCCCAACCAATAGCTTGGGGGTCCTCCACAGAAAAATGAAAAGATGGGGGGAATTCTTAGTTGAGGCATTGCTCTGAATAAAGCTGTGATGGACAGTCACTATATCCAGGGGTATTGTAATCCTGCCTGATGTATTGAAGTGTGAAAAGCCTCTCTCTGCTGGACCCCAGGTGGAGCCGTTCTTCATCAGCCTCGCCCTCTTCGACGTCTCCAAGAGCTGTAAGATCTCAGCCGACTTCCACGTGGACCTGAACCCGCCGTGCGTCAAGGAGATGCTGACCGACGCCTCGGGGCAGCTCTCTCCTTCATCAGACTCAGAGGGGGGAGGGGGAGGAGGAGGAGGAGGAGGAGGAGGAGGAGTCAGGGAGGGAGGAGGCATGGTGAACGGAGACTCTGCCAAAGGGAATGGCCTGCCGCTTCTTCAGAGGGTGTCCGAGGCTCTGCTGCGCTTCCCTACACAGGTAGAGACTTGGCTGTGGTTATCCATCTGTTTGATTCAGGAAATGACTCACGGCCAATCAGAAGGGGCAAGGAACCTGAATCATTGCAGTGTCATTCACACAGATGTGAGGTGTGTTCGGAACAATGCTTCATCCTGTCTGGGAAACATATTTTGACTTCAACAATTTCTGAACAAAACAAAAAAACACAATCTAATTAACTTTAATTCATCATTCATATTTTGTATAATAATTATAAATATATAGATTTTTTTTTTACGACATTTGGAAAAATACTAATTTACCAAAAGTACAATTGGTTTCAAATGTAATGAGTTAAGTATTAAAAGTAAAACTATTATGAACTTTTAAGGCAAGTGATTTTAACATCTTTAGTGTAGTCTATCTCTAGTCTAAATAAAACCAGAGATCTAGGAAGTGTAAGCTCTTCGATTACAAAGTCACATGGGCTCTGCTTACATAACCTGCCTTTTAGACAGAAGAAGATGGTATCCTTTCAGATTAGAGTTTTAACCACATGAAGAACTAACTGAAAATGTGTTAGTTCATAACGAGTTTTGCTCTTCCTCTGTTTTGAGAAAGAATAGCTACTAGTGAAGATATACAAAAATACTAATCTAACGCAAACAGTGTGAACACATATCCATTTGTATTCCTCTTTGCCCATGCGGAGAAATGCATACATAGACTACTTGAAACACCAGAAAGAACCTCCATGTACTGAAGTTCAGAGGGTTGTATTTGTGTGTTGTATCCTCAGATGCCCTTTCAGCACCAAAGTCTTCTGAAACGGAAACACAGTGTTGCTCATTTAGATGGCATTTGTGATTTCAGAACCCCCTTTCAGTGTTGTATCAACGCAGTGCCCGGGATGTAAGCTTGATGTGACTTCTTACCTAGAAACAGCAGAACAAGTATCTCTAATGAAGAATGCAGCAACCAGTAGCAGGCCATGCACAGTTTAAAAGCTGCAGACATTAAATAATGGAACTGTTCCAAGTCTTATTTCTGCCCTTGATATTACATTCTGCCAACAGACATCTGTGAAAGTCCTACCCCAGCAGAACACACACATACAAACACACACACACTAACGGAACCGTCTCTACCTCTGTGATTAGTGTGTTATTATAGCTCAGCTGACCACGCTTTAATTTAGGTGCGTTGGGTGTGGTCCAAGGACTGAGCCTCCACTCTCCACTGCATCAGCAGCTCTGAGGAGGCCACAGCTTCTGTTCCAGTTCATTACACCATTCACAGATCTATTACGTTGATCACAGTGAATATGTGAATGAGTTCCTCAAGCCAACAACGAGTAGTATTTGTTTGCAAAAAGCTGTAACACTTTCTGCGAGCCATTCTGGGCAGTATGACAATTAGATGAATGAATGAGGGCGGATGGGAGTGGTTGCACAGGGTCTGTCTATCTATCTGTCTACTCTCTTCTATATTATTACTGTTTGTGGCGTCTGCGTGTATTTCAATTTGAAGCTAAACTAGCCACTTAGAAGGTGCTCCCTCGGTAGTGTCAATTCTTATGGTGCCTGAAAATATAACGAATTACAAAATGACTTCCTGCTACTTCTGTCTAGATTTTGTTTCCATTCTAGGGAAACCCAAGAGGAGGTTAAAAATACATTTCAAACTAATATGAGCTCATAACTTAATAGGAGCAGCGTGTTTTGTCCGAAAGTCAATTCTGTCCCCTGGAGATTGTTTATGTGAGCTGACACTGACGAGCTATAAGTCAGTCCCCTCGCACCAGAGCAAAAATAGAAGTGAGCCCTATGTGGTTTTCCTGTATGAGCTCGGCTGACAGCAGCCACTTCCCCCTGCACTTGCCTTGTAGAGAAGCAGCGGAAAGATTTAAGAACGAAAAGACATTTGAATTGCTGATGAATGCTTTTTTATCAAAGAACCCAGCAGTGCTTTCTAGTCTTAGGAAAAAGATATCACAGTCTACTAATGCACATCCAACCACATATCCATATTATCAAGTCCCTACTCTAATTATCCATGTACCCCTCTCTCCTCTAGGGTATCTTTTCAGTGACCAACCCTCATGCAGATATCTTCCTGGTGGCCCGTGTGGAGAAGGTGCTGCAGAACGGCATCACACACTGCGCCGAGCCGTATATCAAGACTTCTGACATCAGCAAGGTCCACAGTGCTCCCTTATCACCATTCAAAGACAAGCAAATAGCAGTGAGCTGACGAGTTTAGCATTCGGTCTTCTGTTTTTGAATTGTGCCTTTCTGTTTGTCTCTGCAGACTGCTCAGAAGGTGCTCAAAGCTGCCAAGCAGACATGCCAACGCCTGGGTCAGTACAGGATGCCTTTCGCCTGGGCTGCCAAGTAAGACAGGAAGAATACACAAGTCAAAATATGACCCAGAAATGAATCTCTTTGGATCCTTTTTTAGAACGACCCAATTCAAATGCATAACATCTGGCATCATAATAAGTAAACGTGGGTTTTTAAAAGCCAAAAATCTATTTTTTTATTCTGCTTATGTCACACCTCCTCTAATGTGTTTTCAGGCAGGTGTTTAAAGACGCCCAGGGCAGCTTGGACATGGACGGGAAGTTTTCTCCTCTCTACCGCCAGGACAGCAGCAAAGTCTCCAATGATGACATCATCAAGCTGCTGGCTGACATCAGGAAGTGAGTCATCACATCTTCTGCTATTTTAGACAGTGCTTAGAAACTAGAGCACAAAAACACCCATGCCCTTGCACATACATTTTTTAAAAGGCATTGCATAAAAGCCAGTTTACAAAAGCCTACATTCAAATTCAGAAACATTGTTTTATTTAATCTTGTTCTTATTTTAAATCTTTATTTCCCTCAACAGACCTGAGAAGAGCAAGCTTCAGACCATCCCTGGACAGATGAATGTCACCATCGAGTGTGTCCCACCTGACTTCTCAAGTATATTGTCGTTCCTAAACACTCCCCATATCCTAATATTTGTCTATCTGTTACAGTGAAGCAGAGTGCCGTACTATTACAACTGGCAATAAACAGCTTTGAAGCGTCCTGTAGTTAGCTGCTCACTATCTCTGAGGAATGCCATAAAGAAAAGTAAAATAAGCTTCAAATTCTTGATCACGAGGATAGTTATCAAACAATAGTCACCGTATTCCTGTTCCTAAAATGCAAACAAGACAATAGAGAAACAGAATAAAAAAATACATGAGCAGGTTGAGGTGAAAATAAAATAAACAATGAAGTTATGGATTTAAGAAATAAGCTCATGGTGAAAATTCTAGTGAAATAAATAACCAAATATATAAATACATTAGATACAAATAAAGGAGGTGATCTTGTATAAAAGGCAACAAAATGCCAGAAATGCTAGAAGAAGGAAATATAGTAAAACTAAAATGGTGATCCTAAAACAAGCACAGTTTAGATGTGATATGACAATAAAGGGAAATAGCCCACCATACATTTGAATAATGAGAGGAAACATGCAATAGATCATCAGGCCATCTTGTAAAAGTGAGTTTTAAACGGCTGCAGATGGAGAAAAGGCTGTTCCAAAGCCAGGAGGAGTTCTTAGCTTGGAAGTATCCAGAACAATCTTAAGTTAACTCTTGGGATGGCACAAAAAACAGGAACACAGCGGCGATGGTTTTCCCATTACTCGTGCACTCTGTTCTTGCAGATACGGTGACTTCCTCCTATGTTCCCGTCAAGCCCTTCGAGGACGGCTGTGAGCGGGTTTCAGTGGAGGTGGAGGAGTTTCTGCCCGCGGAGGCCAAGTACAACTACCCCTACACATCCTACAAGAACCAGCTGTACGTCTGCCCCCTGCAGCTCAAATACGACAACCAGAAGTCCTTCACCAAGGTGTGACTCTCAGAATTGATCTGATTTCTGTGTGGTTGCCGGCTGCTACACAAAATGAAGCATATATCTCCAAATTGATTCGGTGTGTAGACAATGATTCGCTCTACTTTGTGCATTACCTGACTGATGTCATGTTTCCTCCACACCAGGCTAGAAACATTGCAGTCTGCATCCAGTTCAGAGATTCAGATGAAGAAGGGGCGACCTCTTTAAAGGTGGGTTTAATGAACTGCATACTATATTGTCATATGTTCTGCCTATGTAAGTTATACACACATTAACGTTGTGATGTAGGAGTGTATTCACAGGCCATTTTGATCTGAAATGTTGCGATTACAGTTCGATACAAAGTTCTAATATGAACCTACTATCAAACATTTATAAATGTAACTGTTCACATGATGTTTAGGTCAATTACTACACAGGATTTGAAGCAGTGTTTTCAAATGATTACATTACTCTTTTTCATGTAGATTAAAATGTATTTAGGACATTTTCCATGTAGAGACATTGAGAGCTTTTATAACTTCGTACACTTAAATCAACCGGATTACACAATGTATGTAATTCATGCAGCTCAAGTTCTTCTTATCTTAAATAGTGAATTATGGACAAGAAGTCTAAAAACGGACTTGAACAGGGTCACCCAGAGAGAGGAGTGTGATCATATTTTGATCTGTTATTCAAACAGCATGCTTACAGGAAAATAGCAGAAGATAGAATAAAAAGATAAACAAGCACAACCTTTATTTCCAGCAGACTAGCAGGAGTCTGTTGCAAAGGTCTCCAAACAATGACTGTCAATTCAATGTTGGGAATGTCCTTTGAGAGATGTGATCGATAGCAGAGGCCTCAGACATGATTCTTTCTATTGCTGTCACAAAGTGGGTCTCAGAGAGCAGCAGAGGGGCCAGAGGAGGAGAAAGGGAAACCGCTTATTAGAGCTGGCAGGAGAAGATAACGAATGGTCACTCTTTTTTTTCTCTCTCTCTCCTCATCCTCGCTGCTCCTCTCCGGCCACACATCATTTAAAAAAATATATATATAAATATTTGCAGCTGGAAAGAGTCTTCAAAGCACCGTGGATTGTTTTTCTTTTCCCTTTTCCGGAGAGAGGGAGGAAAACAGGGTTTCTTTGAATTCAACCAACAAAACATTTGCCCTTGATGCAATTGATAGAGTCTCAGCCTCCAGTATACTGCATCAGATAAAGTGAGTCTGATCTCAAACAATGCTGGAAGTGCATGGAGGAAGAACTTTTGTTTTACAGACAAAAAGCAGGAGCAAGCAGCGGAAGCTAGGGGAAGCTCTGGGACACAAATATGTCTTTTTCAGAGTACAATCCTACAATCATGATCTCAGGTTTAATTTATTTGTTGGTTTAACTGAGATTTGACTTAATATCCCTGAAAAGAATGACGAGCTCTACCAGTGCAGCCAGTGCAACATGTTTGTTTTTAAGGCATGTCTGGTTCAGTATGTGCATGACTGGGACATCAGATAAGAGCCTGGTTAATCACAATTCCCATCAATCCCCTTGCTGCGTCTGTAAGGGCCCTGGATGTGTTGCTTCACAAACCACTGCACAGCGTCTGCAGTCCTACCGCACCCTGTGACCGCAACAACGGACCTTTCTGAAATCTGTGTAATCCCCCCTCCTTCCCTCCTTCCTCCTCACACTCCAGCTTCTTCCCCACTGTCCCCCCTCTTTGAGCCTCTCCCCTCCTCCAGCAGAGGCTCCATTTTTCTGATCCAATCAGTCTCAATTTGCATCCAGAAAATGTCCTTCCTCTTGGCAGCTCTGCTCATTGTTCTTCATTACAGATGACTGCATCTGTTAGCCTCCTCATTACAGCATCAAAGCAGCCATCAGGACGGCTCTGAAGATTTGTATCCCTTTTTGTTGCCCCTGATTGGAAATATTCTCACCTGGTCAAGCATGACTTTCCTCCACAGATATACACAGTCCTGATTGAGGGTGCATTTGGAAAGAAACATGAACATGTTTGTCACCCCACGTAGAGTCAAGGAGACGTACATTTCTGTGTTTTTTGCTTTTCTTTCATTATTATTATTCAACAAAGGATGGAATCCTCTGTTTAAAAATGTAAGGCACAAAACTGCATGACGTTCTTCTTGATAAGGCTGAGGTTGAGTAACCTTCTTTCTTAGTTTAATCTGTCGGAGCTTCAAAGCCCCATACAATGAGGGTCTTGCACCCTCACCTCCAAATATTGTCAGTAATTACAGATTTCTGAGCACTTACTCACCGCCGTGGCCCCCCAACATCGAAGGGCCAGAGTTGATGACTGACTCTTGATGCTTGCTTGCCTTTCAGTGCATCTACGGCAAGCCGGGAGACTCACTCTTCACCAGCAGCACCTACGCAGCCGTCCTGCACCACAATCAGAGCCCGGAGTTCTACGACGAGGTGAGAAGGTTACATCGCTATCCTCGCACTTTTTCCCCCAGGCATTAGTCTGATTCAGTCTGTTCAGTAAATATGTTATCGTGAAATGAAACAACCTGAAGAAACACTCATTCATCAGGTTGTTCACATTGGATTCGATATAAAGAGGAAGTGCAACAAGCAACTCTGATTGTTATTCCCAAAACTCCCTACAGCAAGAGGCAGTCACTGTGGTCAAATTCCTCAGCCAGAGATAATCCCATAAATCAGTCACACACACACACACACGCACGCACACGCACACGCACACACGAAGCTGGGCTCCTAATATCAAACGGATTAGGATCTGAAGAGTGCCCACAAAACACCCGCATGCACGCTCTCTGGGATTTACCTCCACATGCTTCAGCGTCACATCATAGAGAATTTCTACTCCAAAAAACAATGATCTTTATCTTTTTACATATTTTGCCTTGATCTTTTTATCCTCAAAAGCTTATTTGAACACACTTTAAGGTCTTAGTGAGGGCATAGAGAGCCTTAAAGGATGTCACAATCTTATGTTTGAATTTCCCCAGATTAATAATTAAACACACTAACTGAAAGATTCATACACCTGTCATCAAAAGTAATTACTCATGACATTCTTAAGCAGTTTGTTGGTCACTAGATCTGTTGATGTGGAAATTCAGTTTAGTGTTTCTGTATGTGTCACTTCCTGTGAAAAAATCAGAACGTGTTCAGGGTTAAAACATGTATTTGGTGTTGCTGCCCCCTGGTGGATAAGCTGATATTTCTTAATTATAGATTTGTTTTACTTTTACTTTAGCATGCTTTTAAGGGAGACACAAATACTGTATCACAAGTGAAATGTGGGTCCAAGTGCGGAACACCACTAGAGTTGGATATGAACATTTTGGGTAGTCAATATGAATTAATGTGAAAAGTGGTAGTTATAGCTATGCACTTCGCCAGGATTTCTTTGCTGCAGTAGTTTAGCAGTTGCTATATGACAGCACGGCGTTAATAGTTAATTTAAAAAATAAATAACAAACAATACCAGTGGGCCGAGCACGAACCTGTTAATATTGTAGCGTTCACCGCTATTCAAGATCACAGATCACTCGAGCCTTCAATGTCGAAAACGTTCTCTTTATTTTCTGGTATTGACGGCCAGCCACGCCTTACAGAGCAATAAATAGTATAACACTCATTATGACTTTTCCCCACACTCGAACACAACTCCTACCGTCTCGTACTCCCTCCACACACACACACACACACACGCACACACACACGCACACACACACTGGAAAAGACACACACACACACGCACACGCACACACACACACACACACACACACACACACACACACACACACACACACACACACACACACACCTGGAAGGGGCGGTCTCTCCCTAACTCCCACCAACAACATTGCCTAATTAACTTTACAAATGTACTAAACTCTGCACATCTGATAACTGACATAACTGTTAACTTGGACACGCTACAATATTATCATTAATATTTACATTAAAACATTCCTTTGACACTTATAACATTACTTTGCAAGGTAAGCACAACCAAAAAAACACTTAACTGTGCTCCAACAATATTTTTGTTGGAGATCGCGGTGGTTTACGCTGACTTGTGAGAAATCTTTCCATTTTCGATCTGTGTTCACATACTGAGAATTATAGCATTAGCCAAGTAACAGTTCGCGCTTTAACGACCCCTGATAGATCTCGCGAGAATGTGTATAAATATATATATAGATACATTTTCATAACAAAACAATGGGGTCGCTAAGCCGTTGCTAGGCCAATTGGCGCCGCCCCTGCACTTTGGACAATTGAGAAAATAGGATGCCCGAATTTAAATGAAATATATGCCGCTATTTCTGTATGAGTGTAGAATATTTACTTCTTTAAAAATCAATGAAGCATAACTGAAATTACTTTAATAGTTGTATTCCAATATATAGTGACATTAGACTTGTGGTGTGGTCACAATAGATGCAAAGGCTTTCCAGCTAGCTGCAAAGGGGGTTGGTAAATATGTCTTGTTGATGAGATAAAATCCAGTTCTGTGTAAAAACATTTAAAATATAACTGCAAAAGACTGATCTAGCATAGCATTAACAACTTTTTATATTGTTGTTATATATTAAGTCTATTGGTACCAGTAATGTCTATGCTGAGATGATGTTGCTACATAAAGCTAATACAGTGACCTGTTCCCATGGTTAGGTGAAGATCGAGCTGCCTGTCCACGTTCATGAGAAACACCATATCCTCTTCACCTTCTACCACATCAGCTGTGAGTCCAGCAGCAAGGCCAGCAGCAAAAAGAGAGAGGGGGTAGAGTCCCTGGGTGAGTGTCTGTCTAAAACTGATTTGATATGTGTCCTTTAATGCAAAACTATTAAAAGAAAAGGAAATAAACAAATTGCTGGCTTCACATTTCATGTCCATATAAGGACAGTAAGGCCAACTCTGCTATTTTCATGTGTTCCAGTGGGTTACTCCTGGATGCCTTTGCTGAAAGAAGGGAGGATGCAGTCAGTGGAGCTGCAGCTGCCTGTAGCATCCACCTTGCCTCCTGGATACCTCTGTCAGGACACCAAGAAGGTACAGTCCTATTCCCTTTACCAAAGACTCACTGACCCCAATAGAGGTCAGGCATAATGGTACAACTAAAACTAAAGCTATCATATACGCAGAGGGTTCTTCATTAGTAATTAATACTGATATTTGATTTGTAAGGTATGTTTTTTAAGTACTAATTAAGCTAAATGTCCACAAATTAAAATGTCACTTTTCTAAGAGCTGTGTAATGTATTCATCAAGCTACTTGACCCTAAACATTTTATATTTGTGCGCACTTCAACAGTCCCAACCAGATATCAAATGGGTGGAAAATACCAAGACGCTGTTCAAAGTGAAGACCCACGTGGCATCTACAATATATGCTCAGGTACATCACTTTGCTCTTCAGTCATTTTGGTAGCTGGTGTAAAGAGAGTGTGTTTACGTGATGGTTCTATTCCTCTGCAGGACCTGCATCTTCACAAGTTCTTCCAGCACTGTCAGCTGATGAGGACGACATCAGAAGGCAACACAGCAGAACTGATCAAATACCTGAAGGTGAGATACTGTCAGGCCGTGCACAGTCTCATTTCCCCTCAGGGGCAAATAAAGGTCTTCAACTTGTCAGTCAGCAGGAGAGAGGGGGGTTACAGACTTGTTGCATGGCACTATCTGACAACTGAGGAAGCACTGATAGGCAGGAGAGATCAACGTATTCTGGTAGCCCACTTTCTCATCACATGGTTCTCTCTCAAATTCATGACAAAATAACAGTCACCAAGTTACTCACTTTTCGTAGGAATAGTACGTGTATGTCTAACATACATTTTTTTTTTCACCTGGAAAAAAACAGCTGCTTTTTTTTCTTGTACCTGTTATTATGCTTATCTTGATACAAACATAACTTGATAACACACAAAACAATCCTGTGGCCAGATAAAGTATCACAACAACAATAGCAATGTCTCAGATGGGGGAAAAAAGAAAAAAAATGATCCTGGCAAAAAAAAATTCCCACAAGTTATTTTTCAGGCCAGACTAAGAAAATTAAAAGCCAGATGTTATTGAGGTTATTTGTGTTTCTATGTTAAGTGTATTTATTTTTAAGTCAAGTCCCTTACATATATAGTCAAGATTATACAAGTTTTCTGACCCCAATTACCAGATTCAGTATCTTCTATAAAGGTTTTGACATAGTTGCTCTTTAAAAATCACGTTGTAACTTACCTACCTGCCTTTACTTCCACCTATATCTCCCTCTCTTATAGTGCCTGCATGCCATGGAGACTCATGTCATCATCAACTTCCTTCCAACGGTGCTGATGCAGCTGTTTGGAGTGCTCACAGCAGCGACCAAAGAAACGCATGAGATCGCTGTCAACTCCCTGCGGTGAGTAGAGTGTAACATCTCTTTTACACGATTTAATACCGATGCAAAAGCTCACACTATAACATCGCCCTGCTTCTGTGCCTCCAGTGTCATCATACACATCGTCTCCAGATGTCACGAGGAGGGCTTGGAACACTACCTGCGCTCTTTTGTTAAGGTAACATACTAACTCTGCTACCTGGTTGAACAAAATCAAAGAATCCTAAAGTTGATTTGTGTTTATTTTCTCTTCTCAGTATGTGTTTGTGACCAACACCCCTGCCTCGGGGAACTCAGTAACCACACATGAGGTTTTAGCCACCGCCGTCACAGCAACCCTCAAACAGACAGCTGATTTCAACACCAGCAACAAACTGCTCAAGGTGTGTTTTTTTCTATTTACACACTTTCTGCCTCAGTCCAGTTGTAGTACCATTAATAAACAGCAGGGGGCACACCTGCTTATAAGATGGCACTTGTATATACAGTATGTACTATAACGTGACATGTTTTTCTGTCATCACAACTTTCTCTCATGGTAAGCTTATAAGCACATCAGGAAATACCCAATGTAGTCTAACTGCAGTTCTCTTTTCCATTTGTCTGCAGTATTCTTGGTTCTTCTTTGAAACAATGGCCAAATCCATGGCCCAGTATCTACAGGAGGGCAGCCGCATAAAGGTTGGTATTTTGTGACTTCTTTTGAGTCATTAAGATCATGGTGTCTTTCACATCACTGTTTAACAATACCAGTCTTTGCTTGTGACACTACACAGAGTTCAAATGTCTACATTTGGCGTGTAACCCACAATCACGTGATGTTACGAAACATGTCAACACATTTAAACCATACAAACACTTAACGATATAACAGGAGACTTATAATGAATCACTGAGCTGTGTGTTTATTCCATCTTTTGATGCCTGGGTCTGCATTTCATCTGGGTTGTAAGCAACAGTAAACAAGGTGATGGCTGTTGCTCTTTCGAAAACATGATAGAATGCAATCTGTTTAAAGGAACTGTACACTAGGGGCTATCTGTATACATTACGCTTCATTACGTATTCATCCCGATCATTAGATGCCGCGGCCCCAGCGTTTCCCGGACAGTTTCCACCAGGCGCTGCAGTCGCTGGTGTTGTCCATCATGCCGCACATCACCATCCGCCACATGGAAATCCTGGAGGAAGCTCGCTGCATCAATCTGAGCCTGGCCAATTTCATCAAGGTCTGGAACGCCACTTGCAAAAACATTAAAAACACATCCTTTGACTTCTGCAGGCTGGTGCATAGAAACTGACTTTCAACTATACCATCTGATCTGGGAACAAAAAGTCAGTCATGATAATACAATAGTTTGATAGATAGATGCATACATACTTTATTTATCCCGAATTGGGAAATAGTTTTGTCATTTTGACAGTCAATGAACAACAATTAAAACATTTATTAAAAATAGAATAAAATACAAATATACATTAAATATAAAAAAAAAATACATTACATATTCTAAGTATAAAAGACATATATTCAAAAGTGTATCTACACACTGTAAAATATACAGAATGCATTTCAATACTCTCTAATATACAGAAATATATAAACATAGTATATACATTCAAAATGGTGCACAGTAGCTTTTCATTAATAGTCAAATATATCCTGTGAGTTTGTGTAAGCAGGCTACAAGATGTAAGTACAGTAGGTGCAAATTGTTAGGTAGTTTTATCAAACTACCAAACATATGTTTTCTCCATTAACTCTTATCTGAGATGATGTGATCCTCAAGTTGTACATATCATATTGCTTCTCTCTTGTTGTCATTTTTAACACAACTCAAGAACGCAACAATATCATCTCAGCCTCAAAAAGGTGTTTGTTTATTCTGGGATCACACCTTTATTTACCTCAGCAGTATACGTGCTAACCATGCTCTCTCTCCTCAGAGGTGCCTGATCGTCATGAACAGGGGCTTTGCTTTCGGCCTGATCAACCACTACATGTGTCACTTCGGTCTCAAGGATCCTAAGGTACATCCTTTAAGTCAGCCAACACACAACTGCACACTTTAAGGCTATTGAAAAGAGGACTATAGAAGAGTAAAAGTATGTTTTTGCTGATCAGAATAGAATTTGATTTATTGCCAAGTAGGTTTTCGCATTCAAGGAATTTGCTTTGGTGTAAAAAAGTGCATATATAAACTAGTGGTGGAAAAGTACTCAGATTTTATACTTAAGTAAAAGTAGCAGTACATAATTTTATAAATTCTGTACAAGTCCTGCATTTAAAGTCTTATTTAAGTACAGTGTTATTGGCATCAAAATATACTTAAGTACCAAAAGTACTTTTAAAGCATTAAGGACAATTTCATTTCATCCATTTTATATTAAATAACTGGAAAATATGTATTAATAAATGAATGTATTCATCAAAGCTTGTAAAGGAGAACATTTAGAAAGGTTTTTTTCATCAATTATAATATAAAAAAATGTGTTTAAGAAATGTAAATAGACAAAAAAAGGAATTGAAATGCATTTATGACTAGTCACTATGAAAAAAGATGTAAAGTTTAACGGAAATGAACTGAATTGGAGAACTTGTTTACATGATAGAATAACATGTTTTGTATCTCCTGCCGTACCGTGCCTATCAGCAGACATTTGAATAACAAATTAAACACAGAAACCCGAGAAGCACTATCAGCGGCATCAAGGATTGAGTTCAAAACACTGCAGAGAATTCTATGTTTGTGCTGCAGCGGTTCATATACATTTGCTTAAGAACTTGCATGGCCCACACTCACGTATGTCTGTTTTTTGGCACAGGTGCTGACTGAAATGAAATTTGATTTCCTGATGTCAATGTGCAACCACGAACACTTCATCCCTCTTAACCTGCCCATGGCGTTTGGGCGCACCAAGATGCAGAGGGTACAAGGTGAGCGTTAGATAGAATACCTCCCTTTGAATGCATTTCGCTCCACATGTACCAGCTAAGTAGCTATCACATGACCCATCCCCCACCTGACCTGCATCCACCACACTGAACCTGCCTGATTGTTTGGCCCATGCACACACAGGTCTATAAATGAGTTGGTGGCAAGTTAAACCTGCATTACCTACTAATTATCATACTATGGTGTCTGCTAAACAAGTTTAGCCAACACTTGTTAACACATGTTCTACCTAACCACAAGTGAAAAGAAAGTGCTGTGGAAATGCTGCATGGATTTCACCCCCAATATCTTTATTTCCCCCCCCCCCTCTCTGTTTTTTTTGCTCGTGGTCAGATTTTATTCCGTATGCGACGGAGCTTTTTGGCCCTGTAGGTAGGTGATGCTCACCGCGTCTTACTGTACATAAACGCCACCGTGTTTGCTGCCGTAAGCAAACCACCTGCACCTCCTCGCTCTGACCTGCACTAACCATCCTGTCAACACTCATAGGACCCCCATTCACTCCAACTCACTATGCTAATGCTAGGCTAACCCTTCACTTGCCTGAGCTTGGGTGTTGTCGAGGGGGAGGATCTTGGCTATCAAGCCTTCTCTCCGCAGTGTCTTGAAACACTAGAACGCAACGTCTTTCACAAAGCTGCGGTTCTCTCTCTTCGCTGTCTGTGTCTGTTTTCTCTCTCTGCCTGTCTGTTTCTGTCAATCAGAAGGTAAATGCGGATGTGGGCTCAGTTCCCAGCCTGCATTGCCTGACATTATCACAGCATTATTGTGAAAATCATCGTTCGTGTTGAAACAGACAACTTCTCATTTCTAGTGGCACGTCTCTGATTCTTGTGATGTGTATCTCTTCTCTGATTATACTGTACAGAATGAATATGTATAACATTATTCATCACCTAATGTGAGCATTGGTAAAGAATGATCTTGATTTCTACCTTTCTGGCGTGGTGTGTAAACGTGGTTGCTCATTGGTTTGGGACGTTGCACTTTGAATGACTGAATGTTTTTCACACTTTGCCTCTATTACATTTCAACTCACTGAGCAATGCTGATTATATTGCATGCACAAAGTAATTTATGTACAATAAGCTAATATTATTCACTGAACAACTGTTATACCACTTCTTTATGAGACATTCTAAAACAAACACATTCCACAAGACTGCTAATCAGATTTTAGTCTAAGAAAATTCACTTTAGTAGGTAGTACCGCAATCAAAAAGACACATAGTTATCAGCATCACTTTAGCCCATACTTTGTATACTGACACTTCCTGTTTGACCTAACACAGAGCAGAGTTTGGAGTTCAGCCTGACGGAGGATTACTGCCGTAACCACTTCCTGGTGGGCCTGCTGCTGAGGGAACTGGCGGAGGCCGTGCAGCAGGGGCCCGAGGTCCGGCAGCTGGCCGTGAGCGTCCTCAAGAACCTTCTTATTAAACACGCCATGGACGACCGCTACACAGCATATAAGGTGAGGGAGCGATGAAGGAACAAGGAAAGAGGTACAAATAATGTTCGGAATAACTCGGTTTGGATAGTGACTAAAAGCACAAGCAATCTATTCACACCTTCAGTTGTCAAAACACTCGTCTAGCTACCCATACAAAAAGGCTTTCTCTCTATTATTACACCTCCCTTTTCTTTTGTTCACAAAGCATCGTGACAAGCACATTGTCCCCCTCTTTCTACTGTGGCACCTATTTGCATCAGAACCTCGTTGTCTGGTACTAAAAGTTAATATTTGATATGACACAGGTTAAACACAGCTCCACTATGAACATATAATGAACTGCGGTTTAACGTACCTCCAACAAGATACCAGTGTCTGTCTGTTATGCAAACGAGACCGTTTTTAGAGTGCAGGAACATGTGATTGCAGCTTGGAGCAGTTGGCTCATGATCCAACAATAATATTATCTTAAACAGTGCTCTTTGTTTGCCTTTGCGACCTTACAGTATGTGAGGTCACAATTCATGATTCATCAGTGCATTTGTTTTTTAAAAAGCTCATTGTGGCATATTTATTGTTTCAGAACCAGCAGGCCCGGATCTGTTTGCTGTACCTGCCACTTTTTGAGCTGCTCTACCAGAATCTGAAGCAGCTGTCTGCCCAGCCGTACACCTCCAGCCCCAGGCATGGCCTCAATGTGAGTCCCCTCAAACCCTGGATTTCCACAGCATTGTTACACATTGCTTTGTTACTGCTTTCTAATGCAAAATTCTTATCTACTCCTACAAGTCCTTGTTTATTACATCAAGATACATATAAAGATTCAAGCCTTACTAGTGTCTTTGTAAGGTGAAAAGGAACTCAAATTCAGAGAAACATCTGCAGATATACATTTAAAGGGTCTACATTTTGCTAATTTTTAGGTTATATATACCTAAAATATATATATAACATCTTTATATTTAGTGTCTCTACTGTGACATGTTTCCGGGCTTTAATGTTTTGAAAACATATTTATTGTTCTCATACTGCCTGTGCTGCAGCACCTCTTTCACCCTCTGTCTGAAACCAGAGCCCAGTCTGCTCTGATTGGTTAGCTGGCCGGCTCTGTTGGGATTGGCCAGCCACTTAGAGATGTCCCACCCCTTAACCCAGGGCTATTCAATTACAAATTCAGTTGGGCCAGACATTCAACACAACAAATTAGCACTAATTTAACAGAATCGGAGGCATCTCAAAGTGCATCAAAAACAAAAAGTGCACAGTTGTAGCATTACATTTGATCGCTTTAGAAGTAAAATATTCAGGTTGTGTTTTTTAACCAGGCACATCCCAAAGTGCATTTAACTGAATACAATAATAGCAGTCTTAATAAATGTCTTCATACATACAAAATAAAATTGGATACAAGTAATAACAAAAAAATCATAAATTTTGGTCCCATTTGACCCAGACACATTACAAAGTGCATTTAAATGAATACAGAAAGAACTGTCAAGTTACCCTTCAGTGCACAAACCCATAACAAGGGATACGGGTAACTATATGAATGAATACTACACTACACGTCTACTATAGTAAACTAGGTGCTTACTATCACCTCACTTGTGATTTGTCATCGCTGACTTTCTCAATGGGAGAAGGGACATTTTTTGTTTTGAACAAGAGCAGTGATTTTTGGCTCATAGGATGTCAATGCAATCCTAAGACATTGGTGAAGAGTGTTGTCAGTCAGGGAGCAGCGAGTGCTACTTTTGATTGAGTTCATGTGTGAAAAGCTTGATTCACATGTGTATGTTGATCCAAACATACTGAGCACACAGATCGCTACTTTCTGAACGTTAGGGAACTGCTGTTTTTTGACATCACTCCGAAACTTCGCTGGCTCGTTAGTGCGCTGCATGCAATAGCATAGACTGTAGGGTCCGTGACGTCACCCATAGGATTCTGCAGAGTTGCAGAGAAGCCCTTAGTTGGCGGAGTCTGCCACTAACGGCTCGACAATGACGTTGATTTTAACTCCCGCCTACTCCAATAAGGGCAAAGAGGCGGAGCCGAGGCGGGACAGGGCGGGACCTGCTGACAACAGACGTGAAATTCCAGACCTAGCTCAGGCTAAGAAGCTAAGCTAATATGCTCCCAGTATGAAGCTAACAACCCAGATTGCGGTC